TATGTGATTCCGCGTGAAAAAAAAAGCCGAATGGAGAGAGAGTGAGAGCGAGCAGCCGCTGTTATAGAAGACGTTCTTAACCAAGATAAATTCACGCGATTAAGGGTAAAAAGATAGTGGTTGACGATAGGACGATGAAGTAGGTAAAAAGGCTCGGGGCATCGAAGAAGGAAAAGATCGACGGTAGAATTGCCGAGTACAAGAGGGGCATCGATGTTCAGGTGGGGTCGGGACGGCTGCGACAGGGAAAGCGGGGTACATGCGAGACGAAGAGACAGAGAGAAAGGCGGTGCAACGAAACCCGAGGAGGCGAAGAGGAAGAAGCGGGGCGACGAGTAAATAAAATATTCAGGAAGCTCGGAGCCCCGGGCGTTTGGCCGTGGATGCCGGGGGGGAGGGGGGAGGGGGTGTCTGCTCCAAGTGGTGGTCGGGAACTGTCGGAGAAGGGGAAATGCTGGGAGTTGGGAGCTGGTCGGACGTAGTAGACTCGGTGAGGCTGAAAGTTCGGCGGGATAAACGGTTTGGTCCAGACGGAGCGGAGGAACCGCTTGCCGCGACCGCGTATGTAGGAGGATGGAACCGGCGTGGTCCCGGGTTTGGTTTTATCCCGTGGGAGATTCTCGGTGTTGCCCGAGACAGTGAAGAGAGAGAGAGAAAGAGAGAGGAGAGGAGAGGGGAAGAGGGGAGGGCACGTGTTCACGTGCGTTCTGTGCTCGGCGTTCGGGCGTCGGATGGTTGCACCTGCGGTTCGAGACCGTCTTGCTTTTACTCTCCTTGCCTGCATGGACCGTTCGATGTCTCATGGGGCACAGCTTCTCGCTTTGGTATTCTCGCGATTCCTATAATGGAAATTAACTATAATAAACGTACACGCTTTTAGCAGCTTACGCGGTGTAGCAAAGCAAGTTTCTCCCTGTAATAATTTAGAAATCTTATATTTAATATGTATATAACGAACGTTTTTCTAGTTTCTTAAAAAATTTCTTATCTTTTTTTCATTTTGGTATGAAAACAATTTCTTTGACTAAACAAAAATTTTATAATATATACAAAAAATCTTATTATTATAAATATTAAAAATTGCACTTTTATAACATTTCTAACAAAGAATATGCTATCTAACTTTATTTTTGATACACCCGTATATATACAAAGAATTAATAAAATTAATAAGCCAACACAGAAATGTGTATTCTTTGAAGATCGATTGGATTTAAAAAAGATATTACAATCTTAAATTTTTTTATCTTTATTTATCTTAATATATTAGGAAGAGAGAGAAAAAGAAAGAGAGATAAATCCATAAATATTAATTTAAACGAGCACGAAATATTTTTCTTTTTAATATAATAACGATTAATTTTATCAAAAAATAAAGTTTGTTAAAAAAATATTAAATGCATTAAGTTCGGCGCCAGTGACATATCGGTTAATTCGATGAGCTTGAGTTCGCATTTGCGGCAGGATTTCTTGACTTTGAATTTCACGCGAAGCTGCCGGCTTAAAGCACCTCGGCATGCCACCCAGCCGTCTTCGATCCTGCATCTCCTTTCGACTTCGCCCTCCTACATAAACACTAAGAGAGAATCGCGGGGTAGAACGTCGGAATGACGATCTTTCAAGGGAAACAAGGTACTTCGGCACTGTGGATCGAAAGCTGCCGACGTAAGATCAACAGAACTTAATGAAACATTAATCGAAAACGCAAAGATTAGACGCCCGGAAATCTTCTTGCAAGTGTCAGAATTATTCTTGTAGCGAGATGTGTTGAAATCTCCGGATTTAACGTGTCAATAAACATGGCAAAAATTAGTCGGGATTCATTGAATTTAATGATTAATCTAATTGAAAATCATCAATTATATTACTGGATACAGATCTTTCATCAATGCATCTTTTTTCGATTTCGATTAACATATCAATAAAATAAGAAATAATAAAAGATTGGTCATATATATACGAAAAGATCAAATCTTTTATAATTCATCTAAAACAATAAATTTCGATGCATACAATGGTATATAAATTTTTATCGTAAGATATAAATCTGAATCACGCTCTGTATCTCTGTTTTCGCCCGTAAAATATGCAACTATTTCGTGAAGTCGCCTTTGGACCAGATCCGAGTAAATATTGTATCGGATTGGCATTGTGGGAAGAGTATTGCGGTCTCTCACGGGCAACTTTGTTCGACGTTCGAGTTTCCGGCTTGAGCCATGACTCTTGGTGCAACCGCACGATCTCGTCTGTGGTCACGAGTGGGAACTAAATTAATGGATTGGAGCGCGATACATTTTCTTGTAAAGGACAGGAAAGGGTGGACTATTGATCTTAAGAAAATACGTCCGATTTGGGAATTGCGATCCTACGAAATTACATATTTGCCACCCGGATACTTTTACATTATTCTTTACATTTACAGGTTTACCTGACCGACTTTAATTAAGGAACTATCCTTTTCTGTTTCTTTTTTCTAAATTATAATCATAATTATGATTAACGCCTCTCTATTAAATTTATTCAAAATTCCTTCAAAAATTTATATTACAATCGTCGTAAACTCTAAAATACGATATACATATATATAATAATCATACATAACATTACTGTATTATGTATACATTGTATACGTTGTAATTTTAAATTAAAATATTACATATTACTTTAAAGCCAAGAATGTGCGCGAAATTATTTTTAACGCGTTCGCCGGAAATTTTCTCACTTTTCGTGAGAAAATCGAAATAGTTTCGTAACATTGCGTATAGACGGGGTGACGCACATTTTCACGTGCGTGAGAAGTGAGCATTCTCGTCAGACTTAAAAAGGGCGTTGTCGACCGTGGAATAATTCGACGATCTCGACACGGCGCACGATAATCCGCCGTGTCATGCGGCGCAGGGCAGATAGAAAGGTGAAAGTACCGGGGTGGGACGACGCGAATCGGCGCAAAGGATTGAGGCGGAGCAAGCGCAACGTATATACAGCGAGGATTATAATAAGCCGAGCCGCGCGCGCCGAAATTTATTTCGTTCTTCATTAATAACGGCACTCCGGACACCCGAAAGGGCCAACGTAACCGGCACCCTTTCGCCACGCGGCGCTCATTATTACCATCCCAAAGGGTGGCTGGTCCCCCTGTTCTCAGAGTCTGCTCGTTTACTATTAAGATTTCAAACATCATTCTAAACACTGTTTTATTCCGATTTTGCACAAATAAAATAAATAATTAAATAAAAAGATATAAATAAATAAATAATAAATATTTTGCATGGCTTTTGTAGTTTTTGTTTTGGTCTTTAAAAAGCAATGCAGTAACACAATAGAGATTTTTATTTTATTATTAATAATCTGTTGAACGATTATATTATTTAATCATATATATTTCGAGAAATTAATTTAAAATATATACAGGGTGCGGCATTTATAGTGACGCGGGTATATTTTTCGGAAACGAAGTGAGATATCAACCGTATAATTTTTGGGAAGATCCTTATATATTATATATATAAAAGATCTTTTAAAACTCTATACTTTATGTTAAAAGAAATCTACGTATTAAACTTTGATTATATACAATTTTTAAGAGGGTATACGAATTGAGAGGCTTCTGCGGTCGTTATTCGTCGTCGATCTGTTGACAGTGTCGTTATCTCGCTCGTTAATAATCCGGTTCGACGATCGATTTTGAGCGGGTGCTCTCCGAGAGCAGTCTTGTTAGCCAATCGTTTCCGCAATCGGCGTATCGCGGTCAACACCGCTCGTTAGAAGCGCTTTTGCGCTTCTCGAGTAACGTTCTATCGTCTAATTAGTCTAGCCATTCGGTCGCGAAGGGCCTGTACTCGCATTTCGCGATCGATGCCACGAGATACTCATCCCGAGATAATTCACTTTCCAACGATAGTCGCGCGGAAAGCATTCGTTGTTCGCGCAAGCGATTTCGCGTTACACAAGCTCTTATCAATGCGGCGCGACTACTGCGTATTATGTTTTCGAGAGGCGGAGGGGGAAGAGGAGGGCGCATTAGACGGGCAGGACAATAGAGGAACGCCGGGAGTCGAGTTGTTGAACTGTAATGTCGATCGTGTACGAGAGGTGTTGATTGCGATTACTCTCGCGGGTAATTAGGCAGCATAAGCACGCTTCTCGCGAAGTGCAAATGTGCCTTTATCGTTGCTCTGTTACGGTTAATCTGTACGTCGCGTGTCTCCGACGAGTGATAATAACTTCATGCCGGCGAGTAACTTAAGTTTCTAATCAATACGGTGTCTTGCTTCATTTGGGAATACATAGCTATATTAACGGATTTACTTATCCGCTGATTAGATAAGTATCTCAATTATATTCTCCCATGACGTTTACATCGGATATCGAATTCTCGAACAAGCGACAATTCCAACGTTATCATTCCTACGCACTTCAATAGTGGAATACGCATCGTAAATTGCATTATTGACATGATTGAAAGAGCCATAGAAAAAAGATAAACTCAAGCATCGAATAATTTTGCGATAAATGAATAACGTATAATAATCGTTTTAGATGACTAATAAAAAATTTAGAGCATGGATGTATTTTACGTATCTTAAGACCATGTTAGAGCGACTCGCTCAGCAAGCGAGTAACTTAGTCAATTCCGGTTATATTATCATTTTTAAGTACTCAATGAGACTAGTTCATTCGGATGCTTACGCCTTGTTAGCACCGAATAGGGAACAGCATTATGAAGCAGAGCGTCTCAGTGGAATAAAGTGTTTGCAGTCATTCAAAATGCATTCATTCGATTTTAATGCTTAAGTAGTCGAATGGACAAAACTACGCGCATTGTATTGAAATATAAAAGAGCTGAATGTAGATGAGAATTAAAAGAGTAGAATTTAAAGGAGAAAATAAGCAAGCTTTACTTTAAAGTCAAAATAATATTTTTACACATACACGTATGTATACAAGCTTGTATTTATATTTACGAAATATTAAATGGGATGTCATGTTTTCTGTTTTAGTGTAGTAAAACCGGCCGTGGAAGAAAGTTACGCCCAATCGATCGAATTCACGGTGCAAATTGGTGCGTTGGGAAACAGGTATTTATAATAATGGAGTGTAATAGTAAACGTGCAATTTGCATGCTACACGTTATGAGTAGCGAGAGAATGCGGGGCATAATGTATAAACTTTAATTACGTCGCTTCAACTCGAAATTAGAATTGTACTTAAGTTTTAATTGGATCGATTGTCATTGTTACAGTAAGGCAAACTTGTGCATCATGATTGGCTTTTCAATTTTAGAGTACTCGAATTGCGTTTATGTTTCACTGAAACTATTATGCAGTTAGCTAAGAGAGTTTCATAATAAACGTAATAAAGTTATGCAAAATGCACCCCGGCTCGCCTTAAAACACATCTGTGATATTTTCAAGCCGATGTAACCGATATATAAAAATCATAATCCACGTCGCAAACTGCGACGTAGCATCATCTCGTTTCTGAGGATATTATTCGCTACATTTTTCACGTCCGCTCATATCGAAGATTTTATTCTGCGGTTTCCGCCCGAAAAGAACGCGCGAGACATCTTCAGAAACCTGTTTCAGTTTCCGATCTGAGAATGGAAGTCTATTTTAAAGTCGTATTGTTTTCCATTTGCGCAGGAATAAAAAACGCGTAGTAGAACGCGTTTACACTTTTATCTCTAGCAATAGATGGAATATGCATAAAACCAGAAATAGCTATATTCACATATCTTTGAACAAATTTTTTTTTTATATTTTCCACGCATGTATCCACACACGCGAAAGATGTAGATTCCATTCTCGAATACGTATCGATTTTCCGTTTGCGCGCGAGAAAGGAATGCGGAATATGCAGAAAAGCGTTTTGACTCTCGATCTGGATGCACCAATAAAACTATACGAATAGTAGCGCTACTTTCCTCATTTTCAATCAAATGACGCCTTACGTTATTCGTTCGCATATATGATATTATGCACGTTCGTCAACCATTAAGATTCTTGAATAATTTCCACAATAATTTCCCGTCTTTGAAAAAAATGGTACGCGTAATGCGAGAAAATTTACTATCGATACACCAGACGTTATTGTTTGTCGAAATAAGAATAGCACTTTTGACCGGCGCGATCGGGAGAAAAGTTGCCGCTGTAAAGCACACGGGTCGTCTTACTCTTATATTGCACATGATGGTGTTTCCGCTGCGGCGCTCGCCGACCGTCACGGACCGACAGATGCATACTTGCCGTAGATATTGTCTCGCGTCTGAGACAGCTGGCCGGGAATATTGAAATATTAATAGAATATCGATGAGAGGGACGCGGAAGCAACGAAAGCTGCCGAAATTCGGTTACGGCGGCTCGCCGCGGGCCGGTCCGAAAAATTTCGGACAGCGACGATTATAACGACCGTTTTCGCATTACGGCCCTGTAATCGAATTTTTTACACAGACGCACACTTGTTGCGAGAACATTGTTCGCGGCATTAGACTATACGCGAAACATCGACGACGATTGAAAGGGGTGAGATGCAAATCGGATCCGTCGCTCGCGGCGGCGGCGGCACGATTAGCAGGGCGCGATATCGATCGAACGCGAGCAGGTTTCAATTATTAAACATGCGTTTAGCACGTCCGTTCCTGAGTGGCCCGTATGTTTTATCGCGAGAAAACTTTTGGAGTGGTTCGTTTCGGGGGATATTTTCGAGAGGAAACAGAATACAGAATGAGTTCTGCATTCATGATATGAAGCGCGTTCAGAGTTAGAAAACGGAAGAGGATAATAATTTGTAAAGTTCATCTATAATATATAATAGCGTGAAAAGGATCTTTCAAAAATTGTATGGCTTTGATCTAAGTTTTATAATTAATGGTTGATAATTAACGGTAGCTAATGACGCATTGAAAAAAATAGGTAATCGCGACGCGAGTAACATTCCTTGTATCGTGTTTTAATGTTCAGGATTATCGCGAATATCATGACGGGCTGTTGTTCGGATATCGTGCACGCTGGCTGATCGCAAACCTGAACAATGCGCAGATGGTCCGATTTCGTCAATGGATAATCTTGTTGATTTCACAAGATACAGAGTAATCGCACCGTGCACATTGCGGACGGGAGGATTCTATCAGATTCGGCTCTATATCCTTTGTTACTCTCGACTTGCGTGCGTATCCTCGGGACAAAGAACCAACTGTTACTGCTTTTTGGGGGTTCCTTTAAAAATTCTAAACTCATCTTGTCAACGATAACAATTTTATTAACGATTTGCTTTTACTTCATAGATCATAGCGCTAATTATAATTAACGCAGAGAAAGAAAATTGAATTAACATCCATAATTTTCTGATGCTAATTTTCTGAAGCTGCAATAATACCTGAAGATTCATATAAAGAAGAAAAAGAAAAATAGAATAGTAATATGGTATATGGTTAATCATACATAGTATAAGCGTATACGTATGAGGTTTTTCATAATAACACGACTGTGTGTTAAAGTAATCGACCGTACTCCGCAATTTCTCGGAACAATCGCGACGTAGCGGTCGCCTAAGCTTTGCAACGACGGCGTCTTCCGCAAACGCGTGAACGCTCCCTCCTCATCCCTCGTTTCCCTCGATGCATCCCCTCTTCGGAGATCTCGATGGAGAATCCTCTCTCTCGTCGTCGACTCGTGGCGAAACTCGCTCGTCTTGAATGGTGACAAACGGCATGCACCGCGAAACACACAATCGCGCCGTGGTGGCTGCGACTGCAGGTACGATCGGATGGATGGCGAAGGGGTTGAGGGGAGGGACTAGGAAGGAGAGGGTGCGGAGGCTGACTGCAGCGCGCGAGCAATGCGGCTGTGCTCCCCCCGGTAGCGACGTACAGTTGACAGAAGCGCTTACGGAGGCGAGAGAGATCGTACTGGAGTACGTTCGCCTCTCCATCTTCATCCTTCTCTCTCTCTCTCTCTTTCTCTCTCTCTCCTCTCCTTGCATCCCGTTTCCACGCACGTGCGTGCGTGCGTGCGTGCGTGCGTGCGTGCTTGCGCGCATTCAAGCATACGTGCTACACGGGGTAGCGCGCGTACACACGGGTCGATTGCGTGCGAACGCCCCCGTATGCGTAAATTGAGGGAGTAAACATATGTGTGCAAGAGAGAGAGAGAGAGAGAGAGGTGCGTCAGATTCATATCGGAAAATTACATTGAGATAATTAAATGAAGTACGAAATGAAATGTGGGGATTTATTACCAATCTCGTATCTTTTGTCTCTTTCGTGGTTCGAGACATTTATATTTATCTTTTTCATATCTTTTTTTTTATTTTTTCATAAACACATGGACCGATCCGTTTCATGTTGCGGCTGCGCGAATAAGAAATAGAAATATATGAAAAATGAAATGGTTGAAAAAGAGCATGGTGCGATGAGAAAGTAAGAAATAATGTACGAGATGGGGATTTCGAGAGAGGGATCACACAAGTGTAACGCGAAAGACGATCGTATTTCTTCTGTGACATCGTTTTATGCGCATATGCATACAAGAAGGTAGATTTACGATAGTTGCGCGCTGATGCAAAGTCAGGAGTTACAGTTTAATCGGAAATGTATTCTCGTGCCGATTGGCACGAAATTTGTTTATCTAGCATATAGGCATTGCAATCTCGCGTTGTAATGTTTTATTAATTAAAACTTTTGGCAGGGTAAATTGCGAAATACTTAAGCGCAAGCAGTAATAAAACGTTGCGGTTGATGCTAATGAAACACATAGTGGAACGAACATTCGTAATAAGCGGTGGCCGCCGAAAACGGAGCGTAACGGGCGTTGCACTCGTTATTTTGCGACGGTATATATCGCGAGATGTATTTTACAGTCGGAAGATATTAAACATTCTGGTCTTTTGCCATTGTATAGGACGTAGCCTGTAATTTTTCTAACGAGCTACACCGAGAACACGAATTTCCAGACTTTATTTTCGAGGATGCTGCCAGAACCGCATTTCACGCGTAATTAAATCTTTTAGAATTCTGTAACATTCAAGAATGATGCGTTCAAAATTGCTATTATTAAAATATTTTTATTCCATGGAATATATATCAGTATCTATTATGTTATATGTATAATTGCACAATATTTTTATTGATAATTATAGTCGATGCTATTTTAAAAATGAATAATTTTTTTTTTTAATTTAAGAAAAAACACAAATACATGATAATTAAATGTAATTTTATTTCCATTGAAATTCAAAATAACATGATTGAAAAATAACGATATAGAATAAAATTTCTAGAATTCATGTACTTAAAAATAAAACATCTTGTTATAGATTTTCCATTTAGAATATAGAAAGATATGCTATATAGAAAGGTTGTTAAGTTTTGGGAGAAACAATTCACCAAATTGCGTAAATAAAAATAAAAATATTTCGAAATTTGCTTGATTCTTAAAGGCATCATTGATTTTTTCCCGAATCCGAAACGATATAGCTTTTCTCTCATATCATCGGCATACTCGACCGCGAATAGCGATACAAAATCCAAAGCCGCGTCGACTAAAACTAGATCGGACTGAATCCGATGAAAGTCAACACAGAACTTTCCAACCCTTCCGCCCTCTTTCCGATTCGCGTCTCCGTTTCCTCTTTGCCCTCTTTGCTTGCGTTTGCAAGTTGAAATGGTGATCAGTCCGCGGTGTCTTTACACGCACACGCACGTTCTTGGGGGTGAGGGGGAAGGAGAAGATTGCGCGTGTCTGTGTATGAGAGCATATGGTTTGCGTGTGCGTATGTGGAGAGCCCGCAGAGCAGAGCACGCGGAGCCCCGAAGCGTAGTCTCGACTCGACTCGAGCGGCTGAATCGATCCACCAGCCTTCTCCTGTACACTCTCTGCGCCCTCTCCCTCCCTCCCCCGCAGAACCAGAGCGCCGAACGAACGAACACCTACCGTACCCCCCGCGCGACCCCTTCGAACGCCCACCCTCTTTCTCTCTGTCTCGTTCTCTTACTCGTCTGGCTTTCCACCCCGTGTTTCTCTCGTCTACCTTTCTCGCTCTCTCTATCTCACTCGCGACGCCGAACCATCGACCAACC